TATTGTGTTGTGTTGCTCTGTTATCTTGTGTTGTGTTGTTGTTGTGTTAGAGTGTGTTGTCTTGTGTTGTCTTGTCTTGTCTTGTCTTATGCTGTCGTGTGTTGTGTTGTTTTGTGTCGTCTTGTCTTGTCTTGTGTTGTGTGGTGTTGTGCTGTGTCGTGGTGTGTTGTTGTGGTGTGTTGTGCTGTGTTGTGCTGTGTGTGGTTGTGTGTTTGTGTGTTTGTGTGTTTGTGTTTGCATGCGTGTGCAGCGGGCGCGTGCACACCAGTCCGAGATTGCGCGCCGCCCTGCAGCCACGCTGTCGTCGTCATCCTCGTCGCCGTCGTCGTCCTCGTCTTCGTCGTAGTCGTCCTGGTCGTCGTCCTGGTCGTCGTCATCGTCGGTGCCCTCGTCGTCGTCGCCTTCGCCGTCGTCGGCCTCGTCGTTCTCGTCGTCGTCGTGGCCGTCTTCGTCGGGACCTTGCTGGGACGACCTTCAAAAAACGACTCGGGGCGAAAAGCTGGTCCTGAGGGTGGGGGTCCAGGAACTGCGGGGAGCCGCGTGGCGAAGAAGCATACCGCGTCGGACGACTGGGTCTTGCATGCCGGAGGCCCTGCTCTGGGCACGACGCCGAGAAGCCATCTTGCTTCGGAGGCTCGCGGGGCCGTGGCGACAGGGAGCGGCGCCCGGCGCCGGATGTCGAGCGGCGCACCACCTGCGCACGGCGCCGAGCTTCGCGCTGCCGCGAAGCAGAGAGGTATGGGTGGGGGGCGTGACCGGCGCGGCGCCGGGGGAATCGCGCTCGCAGCGCGCGGGCGTGCGGCAGGTGCGCGCCAGCGCGCAGCCCAGCGCGCAGCCCAGCGCGTGCTCGACACCAAACCACACTGATCCCAATTGGCGCGGCTCGCGCGCACGACTCGCATACAAACCAGCCGCGACCGAGCGGCCACAGTGCAGCCGCTGCCGCTCATGCGCAAAAGGGGACGGCTCGAAGACTAGCATTAGGTCGGGCATGTCCCCCTACAGGCGGATTTTGGACGACAAATAAAAAATAGTCAAATAATCAAAACAAACTCAAAAATAGTCCCAAAATCGTCCCCATACTATCTTTCGACTATTTTTGAATGTTCCTCCTGTAGAGGGACACGCCCGACTCAAATATAAGAGTGGGCGGCTCGACGACGAGCACGGACAGAGGAGACGATTATGCTTCAGGGGCGGGCGGGCCGAAAACCGCCAAGCCCATCCCGCGCGCTGCTCCGCGCCGCTGCCAGCTTCGGAGCGCGGGGCGGAGTCAAGCCAAATGCCGCACTCGAGAAGAGGCCGCAGGCTTTAGACGACTTACCCCGATGCGCGCAGCCAGACGACACGCTCCTGGCTTGCGGTGCCGACTGGGTACAAGAGGGTCGGCGCCGCAGGGGAGTCGCAACGACGTCCGCAGCACTCTCCAGCCGGGCCGAGCAGACGACCACGCCGGCACACTGGCCTGGCCAGCCGTCTGGCGCGTGCCGCCGAGCAGTACTTTTACGGTCTGCACTAGTGCACTGGTGGGCCAAGTCCTCGAATGTGCCCCCGAGAAGGAGGAAGCAGTTCCCCACGAGGTCGACGCCCCGGGCAGCCCCAATGAAGACGACCGGTGAACAGGCCAGCCATCCACAGCGCGCCAGCGCACAGGACGTCAGCGGGCCGACAGAGCGTGGCATCAGAGGTGTCAGCGCAGCGCCAGCAATGCCACGCCCCCGCACAGGGCAGCCATGCAGAGGATCGTGCCGACGCGCAGAGCATCCCCGAGCTAGCCGACCACGTCCTGAGAGGCTTTCACGCGGGAGCCGCCGATGAACCACAAGGTCGACGAACCGACCGCGCAGCGCCAGCAAGCCCACCGGCACCGACGAAGACAGTGCCGACGGACAGCGCGTCGACGATCTGTAGACAGCGTCCTCGGATGCGCCTACGGCGAGGCAGGCGCCGACCACGCGATCGGCGACCGGCGCAGTGCAGCGCCAGCGAGGCGTCCAGCAAGCGAGCCAAGAACAGGAAAGTCTCCGAGCTTCGCAGGTCCACACTCGATGCAGCGCCCGTGCGGCACGCCGCCGCCCATGCCGGCCGTCCAGCGCGTGCCAACCGAGCAAGTGGGCCGCGATGATCGAGTGGATGAGCGCGAGCAAGGGGACCGCGATGAAGAGCCATCGCGTAAGCGTAAGCTTCTGGAGGTCCACGCCGATTTGTCTTGGCTCGGCGCCGGGCTCCCCCCCGGCGCGCGGAGCGCGCGAGGGGCGGCACCAGCTGGCGCCGCCAGGGGGGCCCCGCGCCAACCCGAGCGACCTCCAAAGGTTCATGCTTGCGGTCAGGAGCCTGTGCTCAACAGGGCGCGGCGACGGCCCCAGCTAGGGGGAGGAGGGAGGAGAAGGGAGGAGGAGGAGGAGGAGGAGGAGGAGGAGGAGGAGGAGGAGGAGGAGGAGGAGGAGGAGCTCCCGAGCGAACTGAACCCCACCCTCCCCCTCGGAAATCGTGGGGGGTAGGGGTAGGGTTCGCAGGTGGCCCCCTACCAGCGCCACGCTGTGCCTTGCAAGCGACGGCGTGTCGCTCCGCTCCGCGGGGCGGGAGGCCGGGGAGGGCTCTGGAAGGGGGCGCTCGGTGGCCGGGCAGTGGCTTCACGCGTCGCGGAACCAGCGGCGCGACGCGCCAAGCCAAGGTTCCTGACCACACGGCGGGCCCCGAACACCCTGAGCCCATAAATGGGACGCACGGAGACATAGTGACACTGCATGTAGAGGCGCGCGTCCGACTGGGACAGATAGTATACCCATCCTGTGGCACATTGTTTCCCGAGCGGTGTGGCCAGAAAGCGCCCGCCACGACGCAGATACTATACTAGAACCATGGCGCGCGCTTCGCGCGCGCGCTCAAGTTCTAGCTAGGCTTGATGGGCTAACGCATGGGATATCATCTTTGTCGTTTCTTGCCTTCAGGGACTCTCTCTTTGATTCCCTGCGCAAGCCTCGGAATCGCATAGACGGGGAACTGCGGAAACGCAAAAATCATTCATTGCCGTTAGGTATTCAACGATGTGGGGCCCTCGAAGGTTTCTTGGGTTCTTTTCTGGGGCCTTAACTGTGTACAATGAGTAGACAGGGGGCGAACTTGGAAAAGAAGGACGTGTGTTGAGTCTCCCGTAGCGAATGCCCTCTGTAGGGAGGGTAAAATGACCCAAAAATAAATTCGACAAAATCAAAAAAAAAAAAAAAAAAAAAGGCAATATCCAAAAAAAATGATTTCATGCTCGGAAAAACAGACCCCTTATTATCAATTTTTCACACCAAATTCGGCTCGAATGGTCACGCCGCTGAAATATGACTATGAATTGTCGGCGGGCACATGCGTTCTGATCTGAGGGATAAGCAACGGCACTACCATGCCGCCCAAAACACAACGCCGACCACAGGAAAACAAAAAACACGAGAACGGCACTAACGTACAAAGGAATAGCCGAAAGACCCTAAACACCCTAAGCACCGTGAGCGCCCGAAGCACCCTGAAGACCATTAACGCCCTGAGCCCCCTAAGTGCCCTGAGCATTCCACACGCCCTAAACGCCCTCAGCACCCTAAACACCCGAAACGCCCTGAGCGCCATAAGCGCCAAAAGCACTCTAAACACCCTAAGCGCCCGAAGCGCCCGAAACACCATAAACACCCTAGACGCCCTACCCCCTCGGCTAAACACCCCCGCCACCCTAGAGGATGAGGGCGGGCGGGGATTGAGAAGGATAACGAGGAGGAGGAGGAGGAGGAGGAGGAGGAGGAGGAGGAGGAGGAGGAGGAGGAGGAGGAGGTGGAAGAGGAGGGAGAGGAGGAGAAGGAGAAGGAGGAGGAAGAGGAGGAGGAGGAGGAGGTGAAGGGGAGGCGGGGGAGGAGGCGGGGGAGGGGGGTGGAAGGAGGGGGGAGAGGAGGAGGAGGAGGAGGAGGAGAAAGGGGAGGAGGAGGAGAAGGAGGAGGAGGAAAAGGAGGGGGAGGGGGGGGAAGGACAAGGAATTGCGGGGGAGGGGGGGGAAGAGGGGGGGGAGAGACATAGCAAGACCATGTGGATCCACGTGGGGTATTGCTAGGTCCCCGCTACGTCCAATGGGGGCCCCAAGAAACGACCCACGCGGCCTCTGGGGCCTCGAGGCGGGGCCGACGAGCCCCTGGGCAGACCGAGAGACCCTCCAGGCAGCCCCGCAGATCGGATCGCCGAGATGCTCCATCGACGGAACGGCGTAAGCCAAGTGAATACTGGCTAACTGGGGCTACGAATGGATTTCGGGAGCTCGCAAGATGCCTCGGTAGACGATGGGCGATGGACGATGGACTCCGCAGAGGGCCCCAAGAGATCGCATCACAACTCCAGCGGCCCCCTTGGATGGACACAGGAATTCGGAGCACATGTTATGCCACCTGTCCGCCACAGGACCTTCGAACTGCACAGCATGCGCCCCGCAAGCTGCGAACCCGCGGGCCGCGACCGAGTCGCTGCGACGCAGCGCTAGCGATAGCGAGAAAGAGAGAGAGAGAGAGAGAGAGAGAGAGAGAGAGAGAGAGAAAAAAAAAAAAAAAAAAAAAAAAAAAAAAAAAAAAAAAAAAAAAAAAAAAAAAAAAATAAAAAAAAAAAAAACGATATACATATAGAGAGAGAGAGAGAGAGGATGAGAGAGAGAGAGAGAGAGAGAGAGAGAGAGAGAGGGAGAGAGAGAGAGCGAAAAGGAGGGGCGGAGAGAGAGAGTGAGAGAGAGAGAGAGAGAGTGAGAGAGAATGAAAATGATAGATGAGGATAGGTACGCAGAAAGAGAGAAACGGAAGGAACGAACATAGCACAATATGAAGCATCTGGTGATTGTCGAGGGACAAGTGGGAGGTCAGGCGCCCGGGCTGGCAAAAAAAACAACCCTCGGGCGGCCTCTGGCGCCGCGCTCTGGGGCGCCTGGTCCAGCCTCCCCGAGCGCGTGCCCCGCGCGTGCTCGCGAGCGCGCCGCGGTCGGCGATCTAGGCGGGCCCGCCGCCCGCGCCAGAGGCAGCCTCGGCCGCCTCCTTCTCGAGATTCTTCTTGATCTCGTCGTAGTCCTTGACTGGAGTCTGCTCCCCCTTCTCCAAAGCCTTGATGCGATCCTGCAGGGTGGTCGGCATCCTCTGGAAGCGAGTGCCCAACTCGTCGCGAAGCTTCCCAGCTTCTTTCTTCCGCGCCGCTGGCGCCTGCATGGCTGGGATCTTAGCGGTGGCCATGAGGACGACGTAAGTCAGCGCGACTGTCTCCGCCGCGTGCTTCTCCACGTCGAGCACGCCCTTGATGATCTGCGCGTCAAGGAAGGGCCCCATGTTATCCTTGAGCACGTGCTTCTTGAGGGGGCCCGCCATGGCCGTGAGCATGCAGCTGCCTGCGTGCAGTCTGGCATCTGGGAGGAGGAATCAGCGAAGACCCAGCTCTCTTGGCCCCGCCCCCCCTCGCCCCCCCCCCCCCCCCCCCCCCCCATCCACCATCGAGCCCCCATCGGGGGCAAGGGGCGGGGGGTGGGGAAGGGGGGGATGGGGGCCAGAAGAAACGACCTCCACTGGCGTCCTCCTCCCTGCATAGTCCTTGTTGCACACCGCGCTGAGCAGGACCCCATCCACGTCGAGGAAGTTCTCGCTCTTCGCATGGAGGGTCAACTCAGAAGGGATCCAGGCGGTCACGACGTCAGCCAATTCCTTGAGGTCGCTGGCCCAACGATCGGCGACTGCGGCAAGGACCCGATCCGCCTGGCAAACGAACTTCTGCGCGTCCATGGGGACCGCACCGTCCAGGACATCAACGTGGAAACGGCCTGTGCCAGAGGTCCCACTCGCGAAGAGCTCGGCCATGTCGACGCGGGCCTGAAAGCCCTGGAGCAACTGCTTGCTCACCCGCAAGTCCGACGCGTCCCAAGACAACTCGTCGCTGATGCGGCTGGCCCCCCGGTCCGTCGCCTTCACGACGAGGCGGTCCAACCTGCAGAGCGGCCGAATCACCTCCGCCACGAGCGCCAGGTAGCCGACCTGATCTGCCAAACGCTGGTCGAGGAACTCCCTGGCCTTGGCAATCAATGCGTCCAGCTCGCCCTTGCCCCCGAAGACCCCCTCGGCATCCACGATCTTGTCGACGACAGCCGCGTTCTCAAGTGGGATATCCGTAATCTCGGCGCCAGGGAAGATAACCTTGCACTTGTCGGCAAGTCGCTGCGCCATTGGCGTAAGAGCGTTCGATGCCATGTCGACCAACATCTCTTTCATTCCAATCGTGTCCAGCAAGCCCGCCAAGAATGCCTTCACATTCTGGTCGGAAGCCTGATCAGCGAAGAGACCAACAGCCTCGCTGCCCGAGAGGCTGACCAGAGTCGCTCGCACCGACGCCATCTCCTTCATATCAAACTTACCCGTCTCCTTCATCAGGTGGGCAACGGCCACCGCATCCTTCACGCAACTGCGCATGCTGACCAACCTCTTCATGCGTGGCAAATGCTCAGAGATGAATGAGTCGGTGTGGACGGAGTCACGCTTGATCAAGGTGTTGAGGAACGAATCTGGGCACCACTTCGGCACCACCGCCGCCAACACCGCGTCCTTCGACGTCGCATCTTTCGCCAATTTGATGTAGGCTTTCTCGATGTGGCGCACAGCATACGTCGATGAAACCCGGAGCGCCTCCACAGCATCCTTGAGCGATGAGCTCAGTAATGGAGCAACCATGTCCTTGTTCGAGCCTGACAGGAGCTTGTGGATGGCGGTCATCTGCTTCGAGGCGTTCGTGATGACGGCGTCCTCTGCGAATACCAAACTACCCATGGCCGAGGGAGGCTTAGAGACAGCAGCGCAAACCTGCTTGGCGATCGATTCGATTCTCTCAACGTCCTTCAAGAGCTGCTCCCTCTGACACAAGACCTTCTGGGCGGCCGATAGAGCACACCTGCCTTTCGGGAACGCCTGGAGGGCACATACGATGACAGCCGCCGACTGCTGCGAAGACTGGAGAGCCTCTGTAAGCAGCTCGATGTCGGCAGTCTCTGGGCGCATGATTGCGTTCACTTCGCACATCTGCTTCGTCACCGCCAGGTGCAAGTCATCGCTGGGCATGATCGTCTCCATGGCACTGTGCAGCTTCGCAACGGCACTGGAAACTTCTTCCTGAGTGGACCCCTGCGTCAACACCATGATCTTATCGGACACGAAACTCGCCTGCCTCTGCTCTGGCTCTTCAAATTTCGCCCCCCTCAGCTCACTCACCATAACATTCTTCCAGAACTCCCGGCCCGAGGAGGCGACGATCTTGGCCGTGGCAACCTCTACAAGGACAGGCTGCGGCCAGTCCATCTCAACCTTCGGATCCATCGCCAGAAAACGCTCAACCTGGTGATCACCAAACAGGCTCACAGTTCTTCGCCACCCTAGGCAACGCCCAAGACACGACAGGCCCGCTGACGATCTACCGAGGACGACGCCCGAAAACCACAACAGCAAAACCATCAGCCCAAAACCACAGATCAAGGACCCCCAAGGAGCCCAAGACCTATGTCACCGCTGGTCCTGGGTGGCCAAGAGTGGGTCCCGAATGGCGATCTGTTCCGCAACCTCCACGAAGCAAGACCAGAAGCTCCCGCTGTCGCCCGAGTCCCGCTCGGAGTAGGCATTGCAAATCGCGATGAGGGCCTCGAGGCGCTTCTTGTCTACCATGAGCAAGTCGTACTCGGCAACCGCGTCGAGGCGCTTCTTGTCTACCATGAGCAAGTCGTACTCGGCAACCGCGTCAGAGGAGTCGATCCGAGACGTCAGCGTACCGAGGATATACTTCATCTTCTTCTCCACGGTCTTCCACTCGTCGCCGAGGAACCTCCTGTAGGTCGGCTTCGTGACATCACAAGTGACGGAAGCGAAGTCCCCGATCTCGACGCGCGCGGAGACCGACGGGTCCTTGGGCGGCCTCCCACGCTGCTTCGCCTTGGCCTTGGCTTTGGCTGCCGCCCCCGTGGATGAGGAAGGAGCCGCGGGCCCTCCGGCGGGGGCATCCGCCCATGCCCTCTTGGTGCTTTTGCCAGAGCGGCCCGCTGGCGCGGCCTGCTCGGGCTCGGCGACGGCTGCAGAGGGATGGGCGACGCGCCCGCGCTGCGTGGTCACGCCGAAGCCAGGGACGCTGATGCCACCTGCGTTCTCGGCTTCGTCCTCGCTGGCGTCGGCCGCATCCGCCGCCTTCGCCCCGGCAGCCTTGCCATCTGACGGCGGAGTCGAAGGCTTGGCTGGGCTGGGGGCCCCAGCAGCGCCGCCGCCGCCACGAGGCGTCCACGAAGTAGAAGGCGCAGAGCCGCTGCTGCCCGAACCAAGCAGGGCGGTCAAGGACATGCCCTGCGGCCCCTGCGCCCCGCAGACAGCGCCTCGGATCGCGCCGAAGACGTCGGCCATCTTCTCCTCAAGCTGGTTCGCACCGATCTTGTTCGAGCCGTTGTCGATGACCCTTTGCAAGCTAGCCTTCTCCACGCTCTGGCGCCTCCGCTTCTCGACGGTCGAGTCAGGCACCACCGCGCAGTCGATGCCACGACGATTCTTCTCGATGGAACGCCCCAAACCGTTCGTGCTTGGGTGCCCGTGCTTCGGAATGTATTCGTCCAACGGAATGAACAACTCCACGGGGTCCTCCCAGACCATCCTGTCCTCGCTGGTGTGAAGCAACGTCTCCTGCTGATCCCAATCCAGCTGAAAGTAAGTCGTGCCCCGACCCTTGATCTTTTTGACCAGGGCCTCGCAGAAGCCGTGGAACCTCTGGCACTCCTCCTGGTCCTTGCCGAGTAGGCCCGGCATCTCTTTCATCTTCTTCTTCGGGAAGTAGCGGGCCTGGAAGACGCGGAAGCAGATGTAGCAAGCGTTCCCCTGGGTGACCCGCTCGCCTTTGTCGCTGACGGTTGTGTAAGCCCACATGCGGTACGTTCGCAGACCAGCAGGGTCGGGATCGGAGCCCTTCCCACAGCAGAGCTTACACTCCCTCTCATTCGGCACGTGGTCCTGCAGGTCCCTGTTCCAATCGGTGCGTCGCCTCTGCTTTTTGGAAGAAGCATCGTCATCGAGGTCAGGAAATCCGCCACCGTGCCCCCTGGCACGTTGAGGCGTGTCTGAATACCAAGTGCTGGCATGGTAGGGTTTCTGATAGTTTTCTAGGGTCCCCCCCCCCATCGGAACACACTGAACTGCGTTCGTTCCCACCCTTTGGTTCGCGCTCCCGAGGCCACAATCCCTCGTAAAATACTACAGATTCGCATTCTCGAAGCCAAGATGGCCCCAAGGCGGCCCAAGATGGCTCCAAGACGGCCCAATGTCGCATCACGACGGCGGAAAATGGCCTCACGATGGTCCAAGCCACCTTCAAGATCGCCCAAGAAGCCTCAAAGGGGGCCTAACATGGCCTCAAGACGGCCCAAGAGGGCCCCAAGACAGCCCAGGGGGCCCTCAAAAGGACCCCCCAAGAGGCCCCGAGGAGGTTAAGCACTTTGATTGTTCATTGGTTTTTGAAGGTGTTCAAGGTTCTCACACTTTCGGACCAAGAACGGCCCAAGACGGCTCCCAGGTCGCTCCAATACAGCCCGAGAGGCACCCAGGAGGTCCCCAAGACAACCCAAGAGGGGCCCAAGACGGCCCAATAGGGCCCCAGAACGGCCCAAGAGGGGCCCCAGACGGCCCAAGAGAGCCCCAAGAGACCTCCAAGACGGCCCCAAGACGGCCCTCAGGAGAGCCCAAGAAAGCCCCAAGAGAAGCCCGAGTCGGCCCAAGACGCCCAAGACGGCCCAAGAGAGCCGCAAGACGGCTCAAGATGGCCCCAAGACGGCCCCGGAGGCCTTCAAGAGGACCCCCCAAGAGGACCAAGACGGCACAAGACGGCCCCAAGATGATCAAACATGGCTTCAAGTATGCTGAAGAAGGTTCAAGATGTTTTCCAAACGGGCCCAAGAGGGCCCAAGGGGCCTGCGCCGACACTTTTTTGTTGGAAGAGGTGAATCATGTGACGCTCCAGGCGTCACATGGGGCACCTTTGCCTCTGCCACCCGATTTGGGCTGCCACCCATGTGTCCACATGGCCCATGGCGGCAACCATGTCGGGACGCATGGGCGGGAGCTCGCATGGGGACGCATGGGAGGCAACCCGAATGTGGACACACGGGTGGCAAGCAAACTTTGGACACAAGGGGGGGCAACCTCAACGTCTACAAATGGAATGCCACCCTTGTGTCCACATAACAAATGGTTTTCAACGCATTTGATTACATCATCACCATCACCATCACGATCACCATGAGGGCTCCTCCACAAGTGACGACGACAAAATTTTACATGTGACATGTGACGGCTCTCCCCTTCCTCCTCTTCCTCCTCATCCTCCTTCTCGTGCTCACCCACGCCATCACGATCGCCATCGCCATCATCACCATCATCGTCACCACCGCCAAGCCTCAGGTTTGGACATCCGCGCTCCCTCGCGCACCGACCACCGCAGCAGCTTGGCTGGCACGGTGGCGGGACTTGCTGCAGGCAGCTGGATAATTCTCGTTCCATCCGACCCAAGTCGGAAGCACTCGATTTCTTGCGGCTCTCCCTGGGCCTCTTGAGCTTGCCCGCGTCTGGGGGCAAGGGAAGCGTCGGAGCGGCGGCCGTGGGCTCCGTCATCGCGCACGGTGAACGGCCTCAAGAGAAGCCCTCGATGTGGCCGGGCGGCGAATCGCTGGAATCGCCAAACGCCTCGAACCATAAAGATGGCTACGAACGATCAGAAGACCGATGCATCCCCGACTCAAGTCGATTCGATCCACGGCGAAAGCAAGTCTGATGAGATCAGGACTGGAGATCTAAATTCGGGCTGAGGCCATGCTGTGGGCCCATCCATGCTGGAGCATTGGTCGACGCCGTCTGAGGCTACCCGCTAAAGGACCGACCCTAAGCATCCATGCGGCCATGCGAAATGCGGCATTTCGCACGGCCGCATGGATGGCATTTCAAATGCCATCCTGAGGCTGTAAGATGCTGACTGAGGCGATCCCGCGGTAACCTGACCGAGGGTATCCACGGCCTCTCCAACTTGGGCTTCCCAGATCCCCCACGCCAAGACGACCATCCGTGAAGCTATCCTTAGGCACCCTGAGATGAGGCTATCCCGACACTGTCCCGGCTGAGGCTATCGCGAGGCCTCCAAAGAACCATCCTGGATGACCCAAGTTCCCCAAAGAGGCCCAGCCTATTTGTGGCAAACGCACGCAGCCGACGGATCGCGCACATGTCCAAGATGCCCCAAGCCGCCACGCAAGCCTGTAGAAGAGACCAGGACGATGGGAAGATAGCCTGGCAGCTGAATGACGCTCAGGCTCACGATCGCTCCCTCTGGGGAGCCTCAGTCAGAGTTCTCGCTATCGGACTCGACGGTGTGCACTTCCTGATCCTCCTCCTGCTGCTGGGCATCGGCATCGGTCATGTCCAGGTAGTGCGACGGCATGCCCATGGCGGCGAAAACTGCCGCGAGCAGGGGGGCGCAAGCGAAGCCCGAGAAAGCCATCCCCGCCAACTCGCAGCCCAGCTCGCTCCGGGCTGCCATCTCGCAGGAGTGGGGCGTCCAGTCTTCGAAGTCCCAGCCGATCGCGCGCAAGCACTCGAACCCAGTCATCAAGCGGAGCTTGTTTCCTGGCATCCGAAGGAGCCACCGACTATGCGCGGTGAGCGTGCCGATGGACGGGTACTTCCAAGGGCTCTTCAAGTCGCTGCCCTCGCTGCCCTCGCCATCGAAGCCAGTGAGCCTCTTGAGAGACTCGTTGATGTCGACTGCCTGGGGCCATTCGGGGCGCGACCTCGTCAGTTGGGCTGGCTCGCCGAGCAAACTAACAACATCAAACGCGGGCGGCGCGTAGAGCGCTGACCGCTTTCGACATGCCTGCCCGGCGAGCTCAGTCCAAGTGAGGGCGGGCGCCGCCGAATGCATCGCACTCCCCAGCGCGAAGATCGCGAGCAGGGAAGTGGCGGTGGAGGAACCAGGCGACCTCAGCCATCCTGACAGACATGCCGCTGAAGTCGATGTCGTCGCCGGTGGCGCCCGACGACTCCAAGCTCGGGGGCCAGCTGAGTTTGCAGACGCCGAAGATGTCCATGTGCTCCACCTTGTAGTTGAATTCCCCATTCTTCTCCACCTTCGGTTTCTTCTTGGAAGGGGCGCCGGGGCCCTCGCGATGGGCCGCCGCGCCCGGCAGCCTGGAGGGGTCAGAGACGACGACTTCATCAGCAGTGCCAGGGCCGATCTCCATGGCGCCCAGGATCCTGCGAACCATCTTCAACTTCGAGCGGTTCTCGGGGGACAAGCCCAGGAGGCCAATGATGTACAGGCGGTTCCTGGGGGGCCAAGAGCCGTAGGCGGCCGCGTCGAAGACGAAGCCTTCGCACTCGTAGTTCAGGTCCTTCAGCATCTGTAGTACCGCTTCTCCGTCCGACTGGTCGCTGCTGCCGTCGTTCGCGAAGAGCTCCTTGACGTTCTCCAACCACACGAGCGCGGGCCGCGCCTTCTCGATGCACGCCATCCCGCCCCTGAGGGTAACGTTGGTGGCGGCCGAAGTGTCCCGCTGGATGCAGTTCATGTTCTGCTTGGCCCTCGGATTGGCCGGAGACCTCGGGCCGCAAGTGAACCCCATCGCGAAGCCATCCACGAAAGGCGCGATCTCGTCCTGGTCCGTGATGAGGTTCCTGGTCTGGTGTCTGGTCAGATCACTCACATCTCCGAACAGACGTCGCAACTCGTGTTGGTCGCAAAGAAAAGCTTGAGCATCCTCGTCTTTTTCGCATGCGAACGTGCTCTCGAACTTGAGGTCCACGTCGTACTGAGAGCTCCAAAACGCAGAAGAATGGGAGCACACCTTCAAGAGCACATCCGTACCAGAGCAAGCAGTGCCCCAAGTGAACCCGGATGGGAACGCGGCGGCCGCCGCCTTCAATCCGTCAATGACCGCGCGGCAAAGCCGCGCGCCAAGCCGCGAGTGCGACAAGGCGATGGCGACGTCCAGGAACGTTGAGCCGCTGGATACCTCGACCGCCTGGGGCGAAACCGAATCCTCGACGGGCAGCGGCGACTGGTCGGCGACGAGCACTGGCGCCATGGGCGCCGCCTGGTGCGGAGAGGAGAAGGGTGGCGCGGCAGATGAGGAGGCGGGGGGAAGGGGTGGGAGATGGGGCGTCCCAACCGCAACACCGATCGAGAATGCGGAAGCGGGCAACCGACAACAAGTCCTGAAGCTCCGCCCACGAGACCTCGGGCGTCACGGAGCATCGTCCGCTGGGGGCGACGCGGGCCCCTCTTGGGGCCCCGAGAAGGCGTCGCTCTGGATCCCGCGGCAACTGCATGCGCTCGACATGCGATCTCGAGGCCCGCCTGGGGCCTGCTTCGGGCCCATTTTGGGGGGCCTTCCTGGGGAGGGGGGGTCCTCTTGAGGCTCCAGGGAAGGGGGGGGGGGGAATCTTCGTTGAACCCTCTTGGGGCCTTCTTTGGCCGCGCTCGGGGCTGTCTTGTTTCCCTCTTGGAACGATCGTAAAGAAACGACGTGGCGATTCACATCTCTCGTTCTGCATAAAAGAGAGCACAGAGAAACGACGCGGCGATTCGCATCAGCGTAGGTTCGCCGCGTCGTTTCTTTTTGTCCGCTTACGCAGAACGAATGATGTAATTTCCCAAGCTCTCTTGAGGCCCTCTTGGAGAAATCTAGGAACTATCTGGGTGGTCTTTTGGAAGCCTTTAAGGGCCCCCATGGGCCCATGGGGCCCGACAAGGAGTCATTCGGATCACGCGACGCGACCCTCAACCTATCGAAAACTACAGCCCACGAGCTCATGACAGCGGGGACGCCGATTTCAGGACAGCTTCCGGGGTATTTGCACGACGGCATCGCCAAAGGCACCAAAGCCATCGCGAGCTCCGCCCCGAAACAGCGACTGCTTCTGAGCAAACTACTGCGCTGCAGTGCCCGATGAAGCGAGGCCATCGCGATTGCGGCCGCAAATTTCAGGACAGCTTCCGGGGGAATTCTGCCAGAGAGACGCGCCGCTTGCAATGTCCCCGTCATGGGCTACATGGGGCCAAGTGGCCCAAGGTGGACACGAGCAAGAGCCTCAAGGTAGACACTTGCACAAGGGGGATTCCAAGGTGCCGTCGAGGCAACGCGACCCTGTCAACGCATGCCTCGGGCCCACGCCACAAGCACCCCACTTCCCCCCCCTAAAGACTGGCAGGGCTGGCTCAGCCCCCCTGTCACCTGAAGCCCCGCAGACAAGGCTGGACTGAGACCCCCCAGGCCGAACTGAGCCCGCGGGCCAATTTACGAGAACACCTGTCAACGCAAGCTATGTTTGTAAATTCTCTTTTTCTGTTCGAAATGCGATTATTTATTTATTTGTTGGAATATTTGAATTGTCCGCCAGGCTTTTCTTAGCGCCGGGGATCGCCGGAGGAATTAATTCATCTGCCAACAGTCACGCAAAACATTAATTCTGAGGGGTGGGCTAATCGCCGGGGATCGCCGGGAATTTTTTTAAAAAAAATGAAAGTAAAAAATCCAAACAAAAATCGTAAAACAACCCTACAAAGACAGGGGGGGAACAAGCGGAGCGATAAAGAGGAGGAGGACTATGACTATGGATTGGCCTGCCTCCGAAGAGGCAGGTCCGAAAAGAGAAGAAGGTGAAACACACAGGCGGTGGCTGCGCTTCAGGCAGCAGGCGGAGCACAGCAAGGGCCGCACGTGCCAACCAAAATGGCCCCTTTTCGTGGGACAGGGGGGCATCGGCATAGCATCGGCATGAGTAGTCAGCAGTGGCTCAAGACCACCCCCCTTTTGCCGCGCCCCCTTTTGCCAGTGGCGTTGCGCATTAACCCTGGTGACGTTTTGCCGGGGGGGCCCACTGTGCACGGCTGCGAGCGTTGGCCCAGTGCCATGCCGCAAGTTCGTCTTGGAAGGCATCTTACTACATTCGTCCTGAATGGTGGCGCATTGCTGTTTTCCCCAGAGTACTCCTGGAGGTCGTCTTCGGAGGAGGAGCAGGAGGGGCAGCGGGGGGAGGGCGAGGAGGGGGGAGAGGAGGAAGAGCGAATGATCAGGAGCAGGAGCACGAGGAGGAGGAGGATCAGCAGGAAGAGGAGATGAGGAGGAGGAGGAGGAGGACAAGGGACAGGAGGAGGAAGGGGATGAGAAGGAAGATGAGGAAGGGAAGGAGGAGGAGAAAGAGAGGAGGGGGAAGAGGGGGGAGGAATCTACCTCATGAGGGGGATGGACACGGGGGAGGAGGAGCAAGATGAAGTGGATGAGAAGTGGGACGGGGAGGAGGAGCAAGGGGGGGGCGGAAAGGGTGGAAGAGCAGGGGGGGAGCGGGAGGAGGTGGTCAAGAAGGAGGGGGGGGAGGAGAAAGCCTCTCGGGCCCGAAATGGAACTCCAAGATGAGCCCGACAGGTTCTAAAAGGGCTCCAAGATGACCCCGCGAGGGCTTCAAGAATCCCCAAGAAGGCCCCAAGACGACTCCAATGGAGATCCCAAGAGGACCACCATGCGCGGGAAAACACGCCTGTGTGACACAGCGGCCGTGTAACACAATGGGCCCGTCAGGCTCCTCCTTCATCCTCTCCCTCCTCCTCCACCTCCTGATTCCTCCTCCTCCTTCCACATATCGCCTCCTCCTCTTCCTCATCCTCCTCCCCCTCCTCCCCCCCCCTTCTCCCCCCCTTGGAATTCTCTGGGGGGGGGCGGCGCAGGGGGTCTTGGGGGGGCCCCCATTGGGGGCCTTGAGAAATAAGGAAGGCCTTCCAAGACACGTTCAGGGGCCCTGAGGCGGGCCCCGCCCATGCGCCCTGGACCCCGGGGCCCGCGAGCCCCGATTCTGCCGACCCTTGAACCTTGCCACCCTCGGCCCTCGTCGACCCTCGGCCCCCCGCTGGCGCCGCCGCCAGCCTGCGCCTCCGACAGGCCAGGGTTGGGCGAGGCGACGGCGCCCTGCGGCCAGCGCGCGAGCGGGGCGAGCCGACCAGGAGGGCGGAGAGAGATGGAAAGAAACGCAGACAGCTAGAGAAAGAGAGAGAGAGAGAGAGAGAGAGAGAGAGAGAGAGAGAGAGAGAGAGAGAGAGAGAGAGAAACGAGAGAAACAAAAAAAAAAAAAAAAAAAAAAAAAAAAAGAGAAGAGAGAGAAGAGAGAGAGAGAGAGAGAGAGAGAAGAGAGAGAGAGAGAGAGAGAGAGAGAGAGAGAGAGAGAGAGAGAGAGAGAGAGAGAGAGAGAGAGAGAGAGAGAGAGAGAGAGAGAGAGAGAGAGAGAGAGAGAGAGAGAGAGAGAGAGAGAGAGAGAGAGAGAGAGAGAGAGAGAGAGAGAGAGAGAGAGAGAGAGAGAGAGAGAGCGGAGGAGGCCCAGAAGAAGCTGAGGAGCGGGAGGATGAAAAGGAGGAGGGCAAGGAGGAGGAGGAGGAGGAGGGAGGAGGAGTGATAAGCAGACAGAAGGACTGACAGAGAAATATCGAAAGATTGACATAAGTCCATGGAGGGAAACAGAGACCACCAGAGAGATATGAAGAGAGCGAGCGGAGAGAGAGAGAGAGAGAGGAGAGAGAGAGAGAAGAGAAGAGAGAGAGAGAGAGAGAGAGAGAGAGAGAGAGAGAAGCGAGAGAGAGAGAGAGAGAGAGAGAGAGAGAGAGAGAGAGAGAGAGAGAGAGAGAGAGAGAGACAGAGAGAGAGAGAGGGAAGGAAGGAAGGAAGAGGGAGAGACAGAGGCAGGCAACGCAGATGGGGGAGGGCGGCTGAAAGTCACCAAGTCAAGATCGAGGGGGCGTCGATAGCGGCAGCGACGACGACGCTGCGTTGAAAGAGACAGCGGGCACCCACGAAGGAAGCGGAGCGAGCGGGGCGTGCACTGAAAGCAAAAGGCATTGGCAGGGGCTTGGCGAGAGGGGGAAGAGGAGATCGGGGAATGCGAGAAGTGCGAAAGGAGGATGCGGAATCGGAGGACGGGGGGCGGGCACATGAATTCGAGACGGCAGGGCAGCGGAGCAGTGAAATGGAGAAGGTGGAGCAGACGTGCCCTCGCTATAAGCTAACCCTCTCTCCACCGAGTGCCCGATCCACCTCCACTCCTTCCACCTCATATCAACCCTCCTCCCTCCATCCTCTCCTCCAGCATGTCTCTTCGCCTCGCCCTCCTTGTGCATCCACCCCTGGCACTACCTCGATTGTTTCCTGGGCTGGTCAGGCAGGCCTCTCCCCGCGCGAGATGGCCAAAGCCTGCGCATCGTACTCTGACTCTGGGAGCAGAGGTTCTATGAGCCTCGGGTAAATAGCCATGTGCTCATCGCGTGAACAAGGCCCCGGCGTTATGCCATGGCCAAGGACGAGCCATGCCTTGAGGCGCGTTCGGCATTCCGCGTCAGAAAGCGGTTGCCGTTTGCCGTATGGCAACTGTCTCTTGCATTCGCAAGCGTCGTGGGAGTTGGCGTGCATCCCACAGGTGGCCCCCCAACCGCTCTGCACGCCGCCCTTAGGCATGATGGACGCAATCCACCAAATGCCCCAAGGCCCCCCTCTCGCCTGTCGGCCCCTGCGACGCTCAGCTGCAGGCGCTGGCGGCGGCGGCGGCTTCGGCGACGGCGGGTCGCCGTCGCCCTCGCCGCGGTCGCCTGGCGGCTGCGGGCCGCCATCGCCATCGCCGTGGCCGCTCGGCGGTTGCTGGCCGTCGTCGCCGCCGAGCGGGCTCTGGGGGCCTGCGCCTCGAGGCCCCTGCGGAGGCGGCTCGCCGGGGGCGCCCTCATCGATCAGCTCCTGCAGCCGAATCTTCGAGGACCTCTTGCCGATGGCCTTCACGAGGTCGTCCTCCGACTCCGAGCTCGAGTTCTCGTCGGCGGCGATCTCGACGGCCGCGGGCAATCTAACCTTGACGCTGTCGGGCTCCTTGGGCTGTTCACGCTCATCAGCAGTGGGCCTCTTATTGACGTCCAGGAAGCCCTTTCGAAGCTGTGCCTCTAACTCCGTCATCGCGTCTCTAGCCGCGGAGGAGCGCTTCTTGACGGGGTCGGAACTATCCCAGACCTTGATGCTAGAACAGACTTCGTAGCCTCTCCAGCTCCACGCCGCGATGC